TAGCACATTTTCTTGAACTTGCTAGTTTTCCAAGATGTATGCGCTTTTCTGCAGTAAGTTTTTTTGGCCTTCCTGGGTGGGATTTGGATTTCAGGGGAGCTGTTATTGAAAGTTTTTTGATATATTTGTATAAAGTAGATATAGGAATTTGTGTTATGGAGCTGAGATACATCACAAATTCCACTTCCCCACAAATTCTCTACAACTGATCACCTTTGGGTCAAAGTAAGTTGCTTAGGCATTTTTAATGAAAAAAATTATAAAAGTAAACAAAGAACGTGTTGTCAGTTCAAATATTATTTTTATTTATAAATTTGTTATCCAGTGTAACTTTCCATATATATTTTTTCCATAATAAATAAACCAGGGAATGTGTAAATATTAAATAAAGTAATTACATAAAATTCTCATTATTTTCCACCACTACTGTACCTGATCATACCCTTTCGTATGCCATTACTCAAAATGTAATTTAATTCCTTCAAGAATCTGGCAAAAAAATGTGCAGCAGTTACCATATAACAAAGAAAATGACTGAATTCTGCAGGCTGAGATGCAATAATCTGACATACAAACATGCAGCTTACAATCATTGTTCGGAAAGACTAAAAAACAAGAGAAAAGCAAAAGAGATGGAAACTGCGTTAATAGAGAACAATCAATACAGAAGTATAACATTGTCTCAGAGTAGCAGTTCATCCAGTACATCACATATCAATAATAGTTTATCAGATCTTCAATTATTTCCTGAGAGTGATAATTCCACTTTAGAATCAAACATAGATTTATCAAGCGAGATTGCTGATGAACCAAACATTCAGATCAAGGATAACCCTGATGCCCTCCTGTATGAATTAAACAAAGTGTATAATGTTATTTCACTGCAGTTCGGGCAAGCAACAGAATTTGATGAGCCAGTTAAATATATCTTTGAAATCGAGCTGGATGCAGAGCTAATGGAAATTGCTTTAACCATCCCACAATTAGCTGATGATAGAAAAGTGATTAGAGACAAGTTCTGTGAGATTTCTAAATTTCTCATTTGGCTGATCAAATCAGCTTCTGGTTATTATTGGGAGATACGCAACATACATTTATGTAGAAGTCATAAGCAGTTAACGCATTCCGCCAACATATATCTTGGATGTACAATGCGGGATGATCGAGCATGGCAGTGACCAGAGGATCAGCCTGTTAATAGATATAATTGTGGTGGGAGTATTAAGTTGTTTATAGATATAACAGAAGAATGAGCCATTTGTCAACATTCATCACCAAGTGCAGCAAAAAAATGGATAAAAGCAAACACTGGTTATAATTTGCAAAATACAGATGTATATAAAAGACTTATAAAACAAAACTTATAATCCAAAGGTACATACAAAGGAGCAAGTCTACTATTGGATGTCTGTTTAGAAAAAAGGTACTTACATCATGGATCAGGAAAATCAGCTTCTCTCAGCAAAAATGTATCTTGAACAGCCAATGTTTTCTGAAAAAGGATTCAAGGCACTTGATTACATAGAAAATGATTTTGTATGGGCCTTTGGATTTATTACACCTTTGTTTGGAATTATCAGTGCAGAAAATGTGACAGAAGTTATTATTGATTCCACATTTAAA